ATTTAATTACTAAACATTTTTGCTATGAAAATTGAGTTCTATATTAGCTCTAGTTAGGATTGTAAGCCTCTCACAAGTTAAACTTTAGCAAGAGTTGAATCTTGTCATTTAAGCTTGGCTCAAACTCGAGCTCTGCCAGTCACAATTGACACTAGAGTCGGTTTGTCATTAAAATCAGTAATTTAAATGGAATTTCATTGCGCCTGTTTGATTGAATCAATTTCAAGAAACAAAAAAGAACAAACAAATTGACCAATCCGAGAGAATGTGGGCTAATACACTTACTTGTAGTAGTGCTAAAATTCTCTATTCCAATTAACCTATCATTTTTTGGTGCCATAATTATGGTCCGTTTAGTCAGAGAGATAAAAAATAAAAAAGATTAAAAAAAAGATAGATATACTTTCTATCCCTCGAGAAAAGAAAGTTCTTTTTCTTCCTTGAAAATTCATTTTCCTCCTTCTAGTTTGATAGAAAGATTAAAAAGTAGGATAAATAATTTTTTAATTATTTTATCAAAAAATGAAAGAAAAANCTAGTTTGATAGAAAGATTAAAAAGTAGGATAAATAATTTTTTAATTATTTTATCAAAAAATGAAAGAAAAATTAGATAAACATATAATTTATTAAATGTCATAAATAACCTTTTGTTTGTTATAAAAACGGATGTGAAAAGAATCTAAAGATATTTATGGGCCCAACTTTTACAGTTGGCTTTTGTTTTGAGAAATAAAATTAAGTGGAACCCACCATCATTTCTTTCTTTATTTTTTTTCCGATGCTTTGGAGAAAACCTCAATCTAGTTGGGTTCCCTTACAAAAAAACGTACCAGCTAAATCAATTCTCAAACAGTCTGAGATCTGATTAGACGACAAAATTAGTTCCACCAGTTCGTTTTCTTGGTTAACTCCCAAGTTCGCCAATAGATCAACGCACTGATTTCCCTCCCTCAAGGTGTGTACTATTTCATAATTGTTGGCCCTTATGATGCCTTGCAATTTTCCACCAAGTGTATATGTGAATGATTGCCTTCATGCGTATCCCGAATGAGACTGAAGGCTTCGAGGGAGTCTATCTCAATAACAATTCTTCTCCCCATATCAGCAACAAGTTTGAGTCCCTTGTATGTTGCCCATAATTTAGCATTCAAACTTGAAGAGTTGTTAATTCTTCCAAAAAATCCTTTGATCCGATATCCTCTTTCATCTCTGAGGAATCCAGCAATTCCTGCTCGCCCTGGATTTACCCTTAGAGCAACCATTAGTATTAAGCTTGCACCAACCCTGTCAAAGGAAAATTCCATGAAATTAGCCTAATTTCTTTCATCGAGACTTTTTGGTCAAGTTCCTCAAAAGCTTTAACAATTTCTTGGGCTTGCTGCTTGGCATTTCTTTCTTGCATCATTCGGGCAAACACAATAGTCCCCGTATGAAAAAAGTACCCAATCACAACAATATAGAACCTCCTACAAAGAAAACTTCCCTTCCTTGTTCGACCTCAACAACCATTTAATTGAGAAAATTATCGTGCAACAACACTAAATATCCACCAAGACAAACACCTGATTTCAAGTCACCCAATCTTCTCTAGACGGACCCTTTTCTCTTATAACAATGGAAGCCACATTGCCCAAAACCTGTAGTGGAATCACTATCATCAGCGCCTTTTCCCACCTTGTCCTTGCAAAGAGGGTTCCGAAAACGACCACCCGGTACCAATCAACACAATCACCAGGGACAAAAGTAGAACCCTATTGAATTNGCCCAAAACCTGTAGTGGAATCACTATCATCAGCGCCTTTTCCCACCTTGTCCTTGCAAAGAGGGTTCCGAAAACGACCACCCGGTACCAATCAACACAATCACCAGGGACAAAAGTAGAACCCTATTGAATTGAAATGTGTAGACAAGTATATTCCACCCGTGGGGTGTTCCTGTGGCCTTAAAATAGTGTTTATACTCGGCTGCGCAGATTAGATTCATAGTATTGATTAAAAATNAACCTGTAGTGGAATCACTATCATCAGCGCCTTTTCCCACCTTGTCCTTGCAAAGAGGGTTCCGAAAACGACCACCCGGTACCAATCAACACAATCACCAGGGACAAAAGTAGAACCCTATTGAATTGAAATGTGTAGACAAGTATATTCCACCCGTGGGGTGTTCCTGTGGCCTTAAAATACTGTTTATACTCGGCTGCGCAGATTAGATTCATAGTATTGATTAAAAATCAATAAGGTCATGAGCAAATGGATACAATCTACTGATCTTTTGTTTTGATAACAGTAGTACAACCAAAAACCTTGAAAAGATAAGTATACAAGGAAGAAAAGGAATACAAAGTGGGGAGCTGAGTCAAGCCGGAGGAGAGATAGTCTTTGGACTTGGAGGTGCCCGAATCACGATTGTAGAGCTCTATGTGTGAGAAAGAGAGAAATACAAGGAGGAAGAAGAAGATAAGAAACACAGAGTGTTAAGTCATGTAGAATATTTATGCATTCTTCTCATTCAATCAAATGTACTCATTATNAAGGAATACAAAGTGGGGAGCTGAGTCAAGCCGGAGGAGAGATAGTCTTTGGACTTGGAGGTGCCCGAATCACGATTGTAGAGCTCTATGTGTGAGAAAGAGAGAAATACAAGGAGGAAGAAGAAGATAAGAAACACAGTGTTAAGTCATGTAGAATTTTTATGCATTCTTCTCATTCAATCAAATGTACTCATTATATACCACAGTATTTATATATAATCCTTAACAACCAAACTAATTACGCACATGACTTCACATGCCTTCATGTGGCTACTTCCAGTTCAGCAACACAACTCAGCAAGAGACAAACAAATTAGCTAACTATCTAACAAATTATTAGCTAACCAACTAACTAACTAATGATGTTATCCTTTTCCACTTTTATCAGCTGCAGCTGCAGCTTCTTCTCCCTTTGCTTCTGCTGCTGCTCTGCTGATCTTCTCCTTCTNCCTTCATGTGGCTACTTCCAGTTCAGCAATACAACTCAGCAAGAGACAAACAAATTAGCTAACTATCTAACAAATTATTAGCTAACCAACTAACTAACTAATGATGTTATCCATTTCCACTTTTATCAGCTGCAGCTGCAGCTTCTTCTCCCTTTGCTTCTGCTGCTGCTCTGCTGATCTTCTCCTTCACTGAACTTGATTCTGCAGCTATGATATGCTGCAATACCCACCCGGTGCAAGATGGAGAATAGAGATTAACTATTCCCATCTTGGATAAATGAGCATTAAGAACATAAGAAGGTAAGGATTTAATGAAAATATCTTTCAACTAAAACTGTGTGAGGACATGAGCTGTTTGGCAGCTTCCTTTTTGAATTTTGTCTCTAATGAGATGATAATCGAACCCGATGTGCTTAATACGCTCATGAAACACAGGATTAGCAGCAATGTGAAGAACAACCTGGATGCTGTCACAATAGAGCAAAGCAGTCTATGGATGAGGCACTTGAAGATCAATAAGAAGGTAACACAGCCAAGTGAGCTCNTGCTTAATACGCTCATGAAACACAGGATTAGCAGCAATGTGAAGAACAACCTGGATGTTGTCACAATAGAGCAAAGCAGTCTATGGATGAGGCACTTGAAGATCAATAAGAAGGTAACACAGCCAAGTGAGCTTAGAACATATAGCAGTCATAGCTCGATATTCAGCTTCTGTCGAAGAACAAGAAACAACAGACTGTTTCTTGGATTTCCATGCCAGGAGAGAAGAGAAGTGCCCAAAAAAACACAATAGCCTGTGCTCAAGTTACAAATCCACTCTGCTTTATCTTTTTATTGAAATGTTTATTTGTTTGAGGTTGAATCAATTGAACGTACCATTCATGATGCAACAAATAATATAATTTTTCATACTTTAGTGAGAAACCAGTTAGAATTACCAAATATGAAGATGTTGATGCCGAAAACATACTAGAAGCATTGAAACAAAATATTTATGGGCATCTGTTACTAAAATTTGGGGACTTTCCGTTCTTAATTCATTATGATTGGACAAGTGTACTGTGTATAGTGGTTGAGGTTTCCTCTAGCTGTGTTTGTTACTTGATCTTTAATCTAATTGTTGTATTATTTCTTTGTTGTATGAATAGTTGGATTCCTCCTCCACCATAGTATTGACTGACTATGGATATTAAAGATATTTATTAGTACGAAAGCGTGACAGTGGATTGTCCAACTATGCTACTTACGTGAGTATATGTCCAACTACATCAAGAATCTTAGACTTTCATGTCATTATTTATCTTTCACACGCCACTTGTTGTGATTGTATTGCATCATGATAATCAACATTTTACATTTGGTAAGTTCTCTACTACATTATCAACCACCAATTTATGTTTTGATACTTGAAACAAGGGTAAAAAAAAATAAAAACATAAGGAGGAGGTTGACTGCATTATGTGGATATCTTGGCCTTATCTCGATCTTGTTCTTTGATGGACATGGTATGAACAAATAAATTTTTGGGCAAATTCCATTTTAACTTTGGCTTTTCATTAGTATTCAGTCTTCACCCCAATTGTTTAAATATAAGCAAACAGACCTCGTATAGTCTCTGGTTCAAAATGCACATTTAACTTAAGTTACAGTATTGATAAAAACATCTAAATATCCCTCATTTGTTTATTTTTAATTTCAAAACACAACCAGCCTCAAACCCCCATCGCCCTCAGCTTCGCCATAACGGTTCTATGGGTGAACCAATTCTATGTTTTTCCCTTTCCTTCTTCTTCAGCATCAAACTTGTTCTTTTTTTCTTTTTTCCTTCCTCACTAAACAAGTTATGTACATGAACTTGTCTTTTTCTTCATCATCTTATTCGATGTCCCCAAAGAATATGTTTTTCTATTTATTTTTTCTCGTTTTTTCTTCAATGGATCTGACAAAACAGTTCTTCTTCTGCTTCCATGGCACCGGTGTTCAAAACCCACAATTCCCTCCCCCTAGAACCCACAGTCCCCACCCCTTCCCTCTTCCCACAGGGCCACACTCTCTCCCACTCTAGCAAAAAGTGAGAAAAGAATAAAGTTGGTCTATCCCCGCAATCAACAACCTTGCTTGGCTGCCCAACTTTATAGCTCAAATTTACTTTCCAAAGTGATTTGACACCATCATCAAATAAGAAGACAATTAATATGTAATACACAAAACCCTTTCAATATATAAAACCTTAGCTCAAAACAAGGTTTGAAGCATAAAACAAAGGTCCGTATCATATGAAAAAGTCATCATGTCATACAATGGTTTAAGCAACAAACAACACATGTTATCGTAAAACTATTTGACAAACAAGAAACCTGCAAACATAGGATTTACAACAATTGCCATACATATCGAAATAAGATGCCATTACCAGATCATGCATTCACCAGAGGATCCCGGAGAGCTATCTCTGCAGCCTCCTTGTCAGGAGCAAAGTACTCATTCTCTTCCACCGGCCTGAATATATAAAACATCACCATATAAAATGCAAGACTTCCGGTCTCCTCAGCTGCATAGGTCACCCCCTGATACCTATATGCTGCGATGATGTTCACGGCAGACACAACAATCCTTGTATAAAATAAGTACCCAATCACCACAATAAAGAATTTCTTAAACACATACAACTTCCCCAAATTTCTCGAGGCCTTCCCATCCATCTTCGACGCCTCCCTCAACGATGATCTAATTGAGAAAATAATTGTGCAAATGCACACAATATCCACCAAGAAAAACACCTGATTCCAAGTCACCCAATCTTCTCTAAACGGACCCGTTTCTCCGATGACGATGGAAGCCACATTGCCCAAAACCTGTAGCGGAATTACGATCATCAACACTTTCTTCCCACCTTTTCCTTGCATAGAGGGTTCCAAAAACGACCACCCGGTACCAATTGATACAATCACCGTAGACAAAAGTAGAACCCTAATGAATTGACATGCGTAGAAAATTATGTTCCACCCGTGGGGTGTCCCTGTGACCTTTACATAGTGTTTATACTCGGCCAAGCTGACTAAATTCAGAGTTTGCGTTAGAAGCAATAGGGTCATGAGCAAATGGATCCGATGTACTGATCTTCTGGTATGGTAACAGTGGTATAACCAAAACCCGAGAAAATATGAGTATATGAGGAAGAAAAGGAAATACAGAGAGGGGAGCTGAGTCAACCCGGCGGAGAGATAGTCCTTGGAGGCGCCGGAATCGAGATTGTAGAGCTCTGTACGGACGTCCATGGTGACTTGTAATTCAGGGACGCAATTGGCGAAGAAGAGGAAGTATTCATTGGGGAAGGTGACGGGGTAGGAATGGTTGAAGGAAGAGGTAGGAGATGGTGAGAGGTCGCGGAGAGTGAAAAGGAGGTTGATGAATTTGGAATCGATGATGCAGAAGCTGGGATTGTGCATAAGTTCGGGGAGGACTTGGATGACGGACTCTTCGGAGAGGAGGAAGAAGGCGAGGCGCGAAGGGTCGATGGAGGAGAAAGAGGAGTTGACGGAGGCGGAGGCAGAGGCAGAGGCGGAGACGTAAATTGAGAGGTGGCCGGTGTGGGTGAAGCCGAGTTTCCGGAAGAGGATCGTCGGGCGGGAATCGGAAGTTATCTTTACGGTCTTGATCTCGGCGGTGGTGAGGGAAAGAAGGGTGAGAAGGATGAGGAGGAGGTGCAGTTTTGCCATTTTGGGGGCGGAGAGAGTGGTGTGGTGTGCTGTTGTGGCCCTCGTGGTGGTAGCGAGAAGTCAACTGCAGCTTGCAACACCAAAGAGAAGACTGAGTAGGAAGAAAGGCATCGTCGAGGGATATGGACTTAAAAATTAAAGTTGATGATTTTAATTATTAAATTAATAATTTTAATTTTTAAATTTAATTTTTAAATTCATGTAATATTACTTTATTCAAAAATGTCTTGATGGGTTATCCATTGCTTGACCTGAATTGCATTANTCAACGATTGTAATTATTAAATTTAATTTTTAAGTCTACGTAATACTACTTTATTCAAAAATGTCTCGATAGGTTATCCATTGCTTGACCTGAATTGCATTACTTGACCTGAATTGCATTATTGAACTTAAATATGACTTAAATTTTGAGTTGACGATGTAGTATGACGATTTAATAGGAATATTGTAATTGTAATTGTAATTGTAATTATAATTGTTAAATTTTTTTTATTAGAAATTTATCANCAATTTAATAGGAATATTGTAATTGTAATTGTAATTATAATTGTTAAATTTTTTTTATTAGAAATTTATCATTTGACACATTATTATTGTACCAATAAATTAAGTTAAGTTTTTAGGCTCTTATAACCTTACTCATCACATAAGCATAATCTAGTTTAAGATGAACAATTTGACTCATTTGTAATTGATGGGTTGTATTTAATTTAATGATTTTATTAAATGGAGTTTATTTAATGATGGATCATAACCATTGAATTGATAGTAAAATTCATTGTCAATCTAATAACAGAGACATTAATGTTAGACTAATCAAATTTTGAGACCAAATATCTATTCTAAATAACATGATAGTTGACTTGAACTTATTTATTTGGTGCCATGTCATTTGGGATGGATATTTGGTCAATAAATTTGATGAGTGTAGCATTACTTTAACGGAGAATGATAAGATAAGTAAAGAAGATCATTAAATAAGTTTTATGTAGCATTACCCTTAAATGAATCAAATCTAATCATATTTTTGAGTTTATCTTTTAAATAAGTCGAATCTAACTATGCACAAATTAGGCTATGCACAATCAAACAGTCAAGTGTATGATGTAGGATAATTAATGAAGCAATTAATGGCAAGAGGGCAAAGATTGGATGGTTGGGTCGAGATAACCTAACCACTGAAAGAGGTGACGGTGGCCAAAAAACTTTATTAATGAAGTAATAGGTGAGAGAGAGAGAGCAAAAGGTAAGTTTTGGGAGGGATCGCTATATGAGAGAGATAGTTGTGTGAGAGATGTAGAGATATGTCCCTCATGTGTAGAGGGTTTACAATTTATAGACACAAAGTCTTAGTTGAGGCAGTGGCGTGAAGGGTAGATTACTAGTTTTTTAGGGAGGATAACTACAACTAAGGATATGTACAATTAAAGATAGTCTTGATCTTTGAGAGTGGCTATCCCGATAATTGCTCTCCATGTGCGTTGATCTTCTTGGGTCTCTTGAACTCTGGATTGGGCTGAGGCCTGGATTGGGCTGAGGCCTGGATTAGGTCGAGGCCTAGATTGGGTTGAGGCCATAAGCTGAGCCTAGCTTGCCTTCTTGCTAATTTAGGCTTTCCCCGTGAATGGACTTGGACCCAGCTGGATCTAGACTCATCATTTGACCCCCATGCCATAAGCCCTAGTTGTAACAAAGGAGGTTGAGGGTATAAGTGAGCCCCTTCATCTAGATAGAGAGAAGGTTTTTTGTTCTGCATGGTGGTAGCCTCCTTAGTTTCTCGCTCCGTTTAGACCTTGGGAGCTCACTTTTTTCATTTTTCTTGTTTTGTTGGTGAACAGTACTATCATCGATTATGGGATTTTACCTTAAAACCCCTTTCCTCCATTTAAGCATCTTCTTTAAGGCTTCAAGAAACCCCATCCATTGGCAATAAAAACCCCATTTTTCATTTTTAGGGGATAACCCCTAGGGCTTTAGAGGTCAACATTTATACCTTGAACCACTTCATCTCCTTTTTCAATCAAAAGATATCCTNATGGTACTATCATCGATTATGGGATTTTACCTTAAAACCCCTTTCCTCCATTTAGGCATCTTCTTTAAGGCTTCAAGAAACCCCATCCATTGGCAATAAAAACCCCATTTTTCCTTTTTAGGGGATAACCCCTAGGGCTTTAGTGGTCAACATTTATACCTTGAACCACTTCATCTCCTTTTTCAATCAAAAGATATCCTCTTGAAGAATTAGGAGTCTTCATCGAAGGTTGGAAGAGGAGCTTTATGGGGGTGCTTTGGGTGAAAACACAACAAATGAGAGAAGTGTGGAGCCAAAAGGTGGTTCAGTTGGCAATAGAGGCAGCAATAGAGGAGGTAATAGTGCCAAGGGAGCAAGAGGCAGTGCCCCAGAAAGAGTTAATGTCGGGAGAGGGAACGCCAGGCAGCTGGGTAGCACTAGCAGGCTGCTGGACGACACTAGTAAGCTGGGTGGCACTAGCAGGTTGCTGGGCGACACTGGAGGAGAGGAGGGCGACTCCTTGCGTCGTGTACAAGAAGGCAGAGAAGTTTTGGGTAGCACATAGGTAGGTTATGATGCCTTGGGTTGCGCACAGGTGGGCAACGCCCTTGGCGGGTGTGATCTGGTTGGCGACACCGGCGACACCGGAGGTCTGAGCGGTGCCCTTCGCGCTAGAGGCAACACCCATGACAGCCTAAGCGGTGATGCCAGGAATGGCAGAAGTGGAGGCGTTGCCCTCGGCGTGGACCAGGCTAGTGTGAGCGTTGACAGCACTGGTGCAGGCGACAATGCTGGGATGCTAGGTCCTGACGAGCGGTTGTCTGGCATCTGCAGAGAACAACGAGCAAGCATACTAAACAGCGAAAGCAATGTCTTGCATTTTGCCAAAGAGGGACCGTGCTAGACCTCTCTATTACGTAAGGCGATTCCATTCGCCTATCTATCCTTTCTTCATCTTGAAATTTACCTGGCACTAGCTCTGATCTTGGTAGGTACTCAGTCTGACAAAGTCACTATGAGGAATAGCACAATGAACCTTCTGCGAGGCAAAAGTACGGCTGGCAGTGACGGTTCGAAGGTAACCTCTATCTTTAGCTCCATAGATTGTAATGATGACATTGCTCGCATTGTGTCGTCATATCATATTTCCCCCGCTATCATATGCTACTAGGCTGATATGGATGAGCCAGCATGCTTCAACTCTTCCAGGGAAATTATTTTTTACGAGGACGTCCTAGATGCGAGACTGAGATTTCCTATTCCTGGGCCTATCTGTCAAATTCTTGACCACTTGTCACTTACTCTGGGGAGACTGACCCCAAATGGTTGGAGGGTAATCTTGGTGTTCTTTTTGCTATGGCGGTTGGTTCATGGCGAGGGTGTTTCTCCTCCTTTTGAGGAGTTCATGGGTTCGTACGTATTACTAGATAATCCTACTCCTCATCAAGGACGGTACCGATTCGCTTCGAGGTCTGATAAGTTTATTGCTGGAATACTTTCAAATTATCACAGCTGGAAAATCTAGGTTCTGCTTTGTCGAAGATAAGTGGGCCACTGAAGAGGGTCGTGACTTAGTGCCTTCGAGATGGGACACTGCTTCGATGACTAAGCTAGGTGAGGATTTTACCTTTGCTTTTATGTTTGACTGTTATGTCCCTTGCATTAACTGCATGTGTTGGTTCCTTTGCAGCTCTACCCACATTATTTGCGAAGTAGGAGAGTAGGGTCCAGGTTGTGGGAGATCATCCTATCAAGCAGTTTGTGGCCCTTATGTTCACTGCGGGTCATCCTAGAGCCTCCCCTAGGCCAAAGAGAAAAGGTATTTGACTCTTCCAACAAACTTTGANAGAGGAGGGCGACTCCTTGCGTCGTGTACAAGAAGGCAGAGAAGTTTTGGGTAGCACATAGGTAGGTTATGATGCCTTGGGTTGCGCACAGGTGGGCAACGCCCTTGGCGGGTGTGATCTGGTTGGCGACACCGGCGACACCGGAGGTCTGAGCGGTGCCCTTCGCGCTAGAGGCAACACCCATGACNGATGACTGTAATACTGTAGATTATTATTCTTATACGAGTTCCACAAGTTCCACTATTGATAGAGCAATAGTGGAGGCTCTCTATGCTTCCAGGGTGACGTTTTCCCTTCCTCCCAAGAGGGCAAAGGTCGATGCCCCCAGTGTCTCTCACGCGATCTGATGAGCATGTTATATCCCGAGAGGTTGGATTAGAGGGTACCCCCACTTCGGGAGTTGAGACTGCCGTACAGCCTTTCATCGGGACTGGAGCTCCACGTTATTGTCCGACTTCTAGCAGTGGTTCAGTGTCCATGCTACAGAACATGAATATGGCCAAGGAACAACTTTGGAGATTTGTGACGGCCGCAGATATCAGAGAGGTCAGCTCTCGAGGTCCAGAAGACATCATTGACACCGCGATGGAGAGGTTTGCTATGATATACCTTCCTCCTTTTCATCTTTGATTTATGTGTTTTGCCTTTCTTTTCATGTCATGCCTTCTAAATGCTTGTAGGTGACTAATACTTTTCATGCCTTTTTTCAAAGACAATCAAGTTTGGAGAAGCATCAAGGCATTTAGCAAAAAAGAGGAAGACACAAGACATTGCTGAGGAGCAGTTGAGGCTAGAGAGGTAGGCACGAGAGGTGGCCGAGGAACAGTTGAGGCTAGCTTACAAGAAAGATGCGCCTCCTGAGGCTGAGCTTCTAGCGTCCCATAAAAGGGCTGCCCAGTTGGAGGATGACAGAGAGGCTACCTGCGTGAGAGCAGAGATAAAGTTGCGGGCGTCCCATGAAAGGGTTGTTGTAGCTGAGACCGAGCTACGAATAGCTCGAGAGAAGGATGCTGTTGCAGAGACTGAGATAGCGGCCAGGGCTGAGGCTCACTCCATTGAGATGAAGAGAAGGATGGAGGCAGCTTAGAGGGGCATTGCAGGCGCTTTTATTGATGGTTATGAGGAGTTTAGAGGAAGGCCTCAATAGCCTTCCCTGTCATTTACTTTTCCGGCTTTGTTCCTTATGAGGCATCGGGATTGATGGTGACAAGGAGAGCTTTGATGAGAGTGGCTCGGGGGGGCAATGAGTGATGTTAGGAGTATAACACTTTTATCTTTTTTGTTTCTCTTTTTGTTGCTAGGTCATGTTCTATCTTTTGTAAATTGTTTACAAACTTCTATGGAATGAGAGATAGTTTTTGACAGAGATACTCTTGCAAAGTTTTATTTCATAATTTGAAGTAGATAACAAAAATAATTAACTAAAACAACAAAATTTAATTTAAATGATTGTCACTAACTTATACGCTCATTGACTTGCACCCCGTTATTGGTAATACATCTTCAAGCGTTCCAAGTTTGATGGATGGGTTAGGGTTTTCCCCTCTGAGTTCTGAATTCTGTAGGTGCCTCGTCTTACAATTTTTGTAACCATGTAGGGTCCTTCTCGAGAGTCCTTGGTAGGTAGGATGACCTTTTTGAGGACTAGGTCCCTAAGCAAGAAAGAGCGAGGCTTCACTCTCGAGTTGTAATACTTGGTCATGCGACGCTTGAACTATGCATTCCGGAGTATGGCCATCTCCCTCTCCTACTCTACCTAGTTGAGGTTGACGTGGAGGTCTTCTTCATTAGTGGTTAGGTTATGGTGTTGGACCCTAAGGGAGTGTACCCCAATTTTGACTAGTATGATCGCCTCTATCACATAGGCTAAGGAGAATGGGATCTCACCCGTAAGGCTTCTTGGAGTTGTCTGGTAAGCCCATAGTACTCCTGGGAGCTTGTCCACCCATAGCCCCTTGGCACTTTCCAATCTGGTTTTCAGGTTGTGGAGGATTGTTGTGATTGTGACCTTTGTTTGCATGTTTGCTTGTGGATAGGCCAAGCTAGAGTGGCATTTCTTGATATGTAGGTCAACACATAAGCTATTAAGGAGTTTGTTGTCAAACTGCTTGGTGTTATCACTTACTATTACACGAGGTACTTCAAAATGACATACTATGCTCTTACAGATGAAGTCTTTCACTTTTTGGACTGTTATTCTGGCTAAGAACTCAGCTTATGCCCATGTTGTGAAGTAGTCAATGGCTACTACCACAAATTTGCATTGGCCTTGACTCGTAGGTAGGGGACCTAAGATGTCGATCCTCCATATGGAGAAGGGTCATGGGCTCATGATGGTGGTGAGCCTTTTTGGTGGTTGTCTCGACACTGTTACAAAGCGTTGACATTTATCGTAATTCCTTGTGAACTCATGGGTGTATTTGATCATGCTAGGCCAGTAATAGCCTTGCCTTACTGCCTTGTGTGCTAGTGCGTGCCCTCTTGAGTGATTTTCACATATTCCCTCGTGGATTTCCCTCATGGTATAATTGGCTTCCTCAGAGGAAAGACAGCGAAGCAGTGTTAGTGACTAACCTTTCTTGTAAAGGGTGTCACGCAGGATGATGTATCTAGATGCTCTCATTCTCAACTTTTTGGCTTCCACTGGATTCTCTGGAAGAGTGCCTTCCTCTAGGTAAGCTTGAATAGGTGTCATCCAATTAGCTTCAAATGATGCACAGTTAACATTGTCCTCCTCTACCTTGAGTCTGCTTGGCTCAAGCTGGTGGCCTGTCAATGCTGGAACATGAGTATGTTTGTAGATGCAAACTTGGCGAAAGCATCTGCCATGGCGTTCTACTCCTTGAGCACATGGTAGATTTGGAAGTGGTTGAACTTTTTTAACAAAGCTTGGACCACTGACACGTATTCTTGCATCTTTTTGTCCTTCACTTCGAAATCTCTTTTTACTTGGTTGACTATCAACTAGGAATCGCTATAAGCTGTCAGGCAGAGGGATTCCATCTCAATTACGAGTTTCACGTCTGATATGAGAGCCTCATATTCTGCTTGGTTGCTTGATGCCGTAAAATGAAGAGAGGCATAGTACTTGAGTGGAGTGCCATGGCAGCTAATCAATACCAACCCTATGACGCTGCCCTCACTAGTGGAGAATCCACCTATGTACAATCTCCAGCATGATACCGTGCCATGTTTTTCGTATGTCAGCCTAGTGACGCATCTCATGGTAGAGCTGACATGTTCTTGAATAATTTCATCTAGTTGATCCCGGTTCATGACCACCTGGGTCACCGCTGGTAGGAAAATTGACGAATTACTATTGCCTTCTATACCCCCCCAAACTCGGGATTAGGGGTCATATCTTCCAGGAAAAGAGGATTGTTATTTCTCTAATAGTTATTTCTGGCCTACTGCGCCCTCAAGGGCAGCACTGGTTACGATGCCTCTGGGAGTACTATTTGTACAGCGGGAAATAGTGGTTGTCTTGCAACTTTAGACGGTTCAAACTGTCAAACAGTCGCTCCAGTGCAACTAGATTCCTCTCTGATCAATTCTCCAAGGTCACTGATGAACCCATAAACCTATTGGAAGACTTCCTACCACAACACCTTAATCGAAGCTTCCGGCTCTGACTCTGAGTCTAATTCTGGATTTTCTTGCCCCCCAAGCAGGGGAAAATCTTCCTACAAGTTGGGGATGTCAGACATGCCTTCTTCAACAACCTCCTGCACTTGTGGCATTTCTGCTTTGCCAATTTTGGCCTTTTCCACGGGTGTTCGTTATGTAGCTACTTGGGGTCTCACGGGGCATGCCAAAAAAATATATTTACCATATTTTTGGATTACAGGCATGACAAAGTCTGATTAGGCTTAAAATCCAAACATATATGACCTTACCTATTCGAGCTTTTGTGAGATTCTAAAATCATGATTGTTCAGGCAATTATAACGAGACATAAGATTATCTTTAAGTTTTTTTCTATGCTTTAGGGATCAAGGACTTAAATAATTTCTCAACTTGTAACGTAATGGACTGGAATGTAGAAAAACAATTGGAT